GTAATCCAAACCTAATTGTGAATTTTTACATGTCAAAATAAGATTTCATGTTATCTTTTCCTTGTGCAATTATACGCAAAAGAGCTGAATTGTGTTTTTATGCTGCAGGAGAGGCCTAAGTGGATGAAGATTAGCTCACTGGATGAGCTAAAGACAAAGGTGGGACATGTTATTGTCATGATTCTTTTGGTGAAGATGTTTGAGAGGAGCAAAATGGTGACAATAGCTACCGGGCTGGATCTTCTGTGTTATTCTATTTGTATTTTCTTGTCATCTGCTTCTTTGTACATTCTTCATAATCTTCACAAGTCAGACACAGAGACGGACTAGGAATTTTCACTGCATGTTTAGCGAAAGGACATGTATGTAATATATAGTTCATGTAAGTAATGTACACCTTGTTTGGTTTGTTGTTCCAATTATAGTGATTTGGTTTGAATTGTGATTCAAAATAAATTTAGATACGCAAATAAATTATAATTTAAATTAAAAATTAAATCTGAACTGCATTTGAATAGTGTTGAAAACTGTTATTAAAGTATCGTAGTAAACATATATTCCATGAACCATCCCATATCAAAAAGTGACCAAAATAGAAGAAAATTGCGTTTGCCGGGAGTCGAACCCGGGTCTATTGCTTGGAAGGCAATTATCCTAACCGTTGGACTACAAACGCTGAATTAAAGTTAATTGCACCATTTATTTAAAAAAATATAATATATTAGAGGGCTCATATTCACTAGTTGAAAATTATAACTTAATGGAAATCACCTATGTATACTGCTTGAGCCATATGCAAAGCATATAGAGAATAATTTTGTAATTAAGTTTAATACCGTATTAAAACACGTGACGTCTTTAAAAATTAAGTCTATCAATTGAATCAAGAGGGAAAAAATTTTTTTAAAAGGATAAATTTTATAAATCCTTTCTGAACTTTATTACTTGTGTCAATATACCCTTAAACTTTAAAATGTGCATGCTATTCCCTTTAAATTTTATCACTTGTGTCAACATGTCCCTTGAAGTTAATTCCGTTAAGTTTTTTAACAAAAATGCTTATAAACACTCCCTACACTTTGTCACTAGTGTCAATATGTCCCTTAAACTTTATCACTTAGCATGTTACTTTGTAGAATGAGATTTTCAAGTTGACCCAACCATTCTGGTAAATTACCAACCAAATGATTGAAGGAAAAATCTAATATTTTCAGTACTGGACTCCTAGAAAGACAAGTTTCTGTTGCTTGAGGGACTTGTGGTAAAGTTCCGGTCAAGTTATAAATCTTCCAGGTTGCAAAGTTTGCCAATGGAGTTTGGGATCCCACCCTGGACATCATTGTAAGAAAGATCCAAGATAGTGAGAATTGTCAACTTTCCAATTGAATCAGGAAGCTTTCCATGTAATCCATCGGCTAAAAAGTCGAGTACTTTTATTTTCTCCCATCTTCCCCTGAACAACTGAGAGCAACTACCAGTAATGTTGACGAGCCAATCCCTACTTCTTTAGGATCATTGCAAAATCTAGGAATGTTAAGATTACCGGCCTTGTAACTGTCGAAATGAGATCTAATAGCATCTATGGAAGAATTCCACTTGGCTTGTTTGAGCTTCCAAATTTGCAGTTCTTAGATCTTGGTATGACTTTCGAATCACATGGTGATTCAACCAAAACGATGGAAAAGTCATTCCATTTGAATGGCTTTTCCTTTTATTAAAACCAACAGAACATCATTATTGAGTTTCATTCCATTCATTTCCATTCTTTTCCCTCCAACCAAACACACCCATAGGTGCAGATGGAAGCAACTTGTGAAAACGGCGACAATTTTATGACACAGCAATACAGCATGTTGAAAACTATGTGACAGTGGATTATTGATGCAATACAATATATATATATATATATTGCAAATTCGAGAAAAAAAAATTTGCAGAACAATATTTTTTTAGTTTGTTGACGGCCTAGGCTTTACCAAAAAAGAAATAATATTTGTTTACCTTTTATTTTCTGGCCACAGCCTTCTTGGAATTTATTGAAACAGGAAAAAGTAAACTTGGAAGAAAATTTCCCTCTATGTACTCTTTTCCCCCTATTTTCCAATAAATCTCTCAATAATGTAATGTATTCAATTATCAGTGTACAATATTCTTAGGTCGTTTACAATGTTTGTTTGTTGTAACTTTGACAAGGCAATACCATTTATTTGTCTGATTCTCTCTCTTGAAAGTTTTAATAATCTCCCTATCTCCTCACAAGACAGAGGAATATCTCCACTAAGCCCAAAGTGCAACCTCAACACATTAGCTTCTCTATCACTCAGTACTGTCTTGAGAAGTTTCTCAATCTCTTGCTTCATTAGCTGTTTCCTGACCATCTTCTCTGGCGAAATTTCTTCCGGCCCCGGTATGATCTCCTATGGAATATTGATTTAAACCCAAAATTCATAATACAATCATAAATTTGCCGTTGAAGAACATTAACTTATATGATATGTAAATGTTGAAATGATAGGGAACACGAACTATATATGAACTGTTCATTTAATCTAGAGTTTAGCACTTTATCCTGGTCATGCGCAAGTTTTCACAAGGCTAACAAACCTGCAATGTCATGCACCCTCGCTCGGTTATTGCTCGATCCAGCGAAATCGGAGGTCTAATCCTCTCGGAAACTAGCCTTACAGTTGAAACATGCACACCGACCACTTGAGCAATTTCATCATAGGTAGGAAAGCGCCTTAATCGTTTGTTCAAGACATTGTTGGCTTCTGTGACTTTCGCTACTATTCCGCACATGTTTCCCTGCACAAAACAAGCTAACCATGCATTCTCTAGTCACCAGCTTATTACCTTCTCAAAACTCACATAAGACTTGTTAAGTAAACAAGGCCACTGCTTCTTATGTTAAGTTTGTGATTGTTCACAATTTTACTTAGATATTTTGGTGGCCATTGTAACATAGGAATCATATAGAGGTTTCATTAAATGTGAAATATTTGTTGCAATTTGGACTCACTTTTCTGCTCTAGTGAACTTTCCTTAAACAAATTTATAAAGAAAAATAATGGGGAATTGTAAAAAATTTCAAATGACACGGTGTGAAGCAGAGGAAAACACTGTTTAAAATTTATTAAAAGTTGGATACTATTTGAAACTATCAGGGTCAATTAAGCCCAAATAAATTACTGAAATCATCTCCATCGCTAATGGAACAACTAAAACTGCAATTTTGTATGGTAACCAAAAATGAAAAGTGATATCTTTAAAAACAAACATCATACATTAAAGAAAAAATCAAAGGAGTTTAAAAAATTCAAATGATATGGCGGCTCACCGGTAATCTGACCACTCTAGATTTGTTTTCTATGGCTCTGATGATAGCTTGTCTAATCCACCAGTAGACATAGGTTGATAACTTGTTGCCTCTCTGCGGATCGAATTTCTGCGCCCCTCGAAGAAGTCCAACGCTACCTTCCTGCAAAATGAAAATAAGTTCATCACCACATCATGAACAAACTTTCTAGATAGGATTAAGTATGTATGAACCTGAATAAGGTCTGGAAAGCTTAATCCTTTGCCTTGATAACCAGCGGCAACCGACACAACCAATCTTCGGTAACTCCGAGAGATCCTTTCTTGTGATTCTCTTTTGTCACACAACATCTTATCTATGCTCCTCATCTCCATCCCCATGGCCTTAGCCAACTCTTTTGAGGTTGGTTCATGGTCTTCACTATTTGTCATTCTTAGTCTTGTTGCTTCTAGTTTTGCTCCTTCCTATTAAAGTGCAAGAGGCTAATTTTTACTAACAAACAAACAAACTCTAGATTATAATGGATTTTTCACCTTGGATGTCCATGGAAAATTATGTTATATATGTTTGCTTGGATTTGATGGAGTATTAATTCTGCCAAATTAACAAATAAGTACTTTTAACATCCGAGAATAGCAAAAAAAAAAAAAAAAAAGTGTGCTCTGCCTCTTCTATTAAGCTCAAATAACCCATTTTCCCATACATATTAAACCAAGTTGAGAACCTCTTGTTTTTTACAAAGTTACATGTGTGAGCATTTTTTGAAATCCTAATGTGATTTAGATTACAACCGCAAAAGTAACAAAGAACACATGACATTTGAAAATTAAAAAAAAAAATTCTATTACATTACATCAAATTAAGCAAAATCAAAATCTTCACATTAAACATTGCTAATAACCACACACACACACACACACAAAACAAAAACAAAAAAACAAAAACAAAAAAACAATAGAATGATACCTTAAGGATGAGGCAACACTCTGCCTCTTCTCTTGGGCTCAGATATCCCAATTTCATAGGCCCAATTGAGAACCTCATATCTTCACCATCACTCTTCTCATCCGTGTCCAAAAGCTCCAACGTTTTCCCTCTCTTCCTCTTTTTCCTCCTCATAGTCAACTCACTACTCTTGTTCCCACTCCAAACCTCACCAACACTAGCTGCCTCCGCCAAGGCGTCTCTAGCCGCCTTTGCCGCCGCACGCGCAAGCGTTACCGCCTCAGCGGCAGCGGCAACTATCAATGCGTCATTTGAGACTAAATTTACGCCAACCTTGGAAGGTGAGGGAGCGGGAATTGTTGGAAGTGAGAGTGTTGGAAGGTTTGGAGGGTGTGAAGGTGATGAACACATGCTAGTGGTGACAGCCATGCAAAATGAAGTGAGAAAGAGATTAAGCAAATATAAGTAGATATTTTTTTTTCTTCAGATTTTCTTGTCTTTGCCACATGAGACAAATGTACCACTTTTTGCTATGTAGAAAATTAATATATATATATATATGTGTGTTTTTTTTAAATATCTTTTTGGGGGATAAGGAGAGGATAAAAAAGTTGGAGCTAGTTGTAGTTTGTGCGGATGAAATTGTCTCGTGTTTTTCAAAAGCCTTCAATCAACTTCTCATACAAATTTTTTAAAACTCGTTTAATTCGTTAATTTAAATTTTTTATTTAAATTAATATGTAATTTTTATAAAAATTTGTTATTATAATAAAAAAATTAAATATAATTATTTTTAAAATTTTTTTCATATAATAAAATTTAAATTTTAAACTTAAAATGGTTGAAATGAATAGTCATAACAATTAAACGTGAAGTGACTCAGATCCCCAATAGAACTGCCAAGTGCCCACACGCTTCTCTGATTTTGGCGCCAATTATCGGCCTTTGGGTCCGTCTTTCCATTTCCAATTTCTCCCACCGAAACCCTAATTTCACTCCCCAGTCCTAAATCACTCATCATCTATGGCTTCCCGATCCTCATGAAGTGACTCAGATCGTCCCCAACAATGGCGGAACCTCTCGCGAAGCGCCCCAAGATCATAAGGTCCGTATTCGTCTCCGCCACAGCTCCATATATCACTGTTCGCGAGGGGATTTTCTGGCGTTGATTACCACTCGCATTGTCTTGGGTTTCATCAAATTGTTTGGTGCTTTAAACTTGTTTGTTTTGTGAGAAAATGGTGGAAAAAGAATAAATGAATGAAATTGAGAGAAAAGTTCGAAAATCTGAACAGTTTCCGGCTTTTGAGAGTGGTTTTCTTCCAAGTTTGTAGTTTCATGGAAGGATCGTTCTCTTTTTTTTTTCATTTTTCTTTCTGATACTTTTTCATATATAAATTTCTGTGTTTGATTAAGTAAATTTTAGTTTTTTATGAACAACCATATGGTTGATCGTGGAAGATAAACATGATGACTACGATTATCTGTTGTTGATTACCAGTCGCATTGTCTAGGGTTCAGTTTCTAGGTTTTTGTCAAATTCTTTGGTGCTTTGAACTCATTTGGATTGCGAGAAAATGTTGGAAAAGGAATAAATGAATGAGATTGAGACATAAGTTCAAAAATGTCAATCGTTCAAGGGTTTTTTTAATTGATTTTCTTCCAAGTTTTTAGCTTATTGGATAGATCGTTCTCCTTTCTTTTTTTTTTTTTTTTTTGGGTTTTCCTTTCAGCTACTAAATATGGTATAAATTTACCGTTTTTCATTATTCGAGAGAAGTGCAAGTTAAAAGGAAATAATTAGGTGATAAAAATATGTTTGAAATTATTTTTTCTTGTGTTAAACAACCATCACATGGAAAATCATTGTATTCATCCTCATCAAGGGTGTTAACTTGAAGTTTTCTTTCAGGGGGGAAGATGATTATATGCCTGGAAACATAACTGAGATAGAGCTCCACAACTTTATGACTTTCAATCACTTAAAATGCAAACCAGGATCTCGTCTGAACCTTGTAATCGGGCCAAATGGATCTGGAAAGAGCTCTCTTGTGTGTGCCATAGCACTTGGACTTGGTGGTGAGCCTCAGGTTAGTTATGGCCAATATTAAGTGATAACTTGGTTTTTTGAGAGTTTTAATCAGAGTGTAAAAAGTTGCAATCTTCGTTCTGTTTCAGCTTCTTGGAAGGGCAACAAGTATTGGCGCATATGTGAAGCGTGGGGAGGAATCTGGCTATATAAAAATTACCTTGAGAGGGGCCACTAAAGAAGAGAAGATTACCATTATGCGTAAGATTGATACTCATAACAAGTCTGAGTGGTTGTTCAATGGTAACATTCTAGTACTTCCGGCTATTTAAATACTCATGATTCAACAATGTTCTAACAGTTTCTTGACGTTGGGGACAAACAAAGAATAATTGTAAGATTTAATGAAAAAGTAAGAGACTATATTCACTTTAATGAATCTACAGTTAAGTGTTCCGGAAAATAAAGACCTTGTAAAGTTGGAATTTGGATTTTCATGTTAAATTGGATGAGGTTGTGATTGCTGGTCTGACAAGAACTTTAAATATGCTATGAATTGTCATTGTAGAATATATCTTACTGGTTTGAACCATATTTGTTGAAGGAAACTTAGTATTAGAAAACTTAACAAGGTAATTGTAGCTAATCATTCTTGTCGTCTTCCCCCTGTACTTGATTTATTAATAATATAAGGTTTTTCTTATAGAAACCAAAAAAAAAAAAATCTAGCTAATGATTCTTGTGGATAATGGTGCGAACTTGCATTTTATATTTGTGTTTTTCTTTTGATTTAAGGCAAAGCGGTGCCGAAGAAAGAGATTGCTGAGATCACTAAAAGTTTCAACATCCAAGTTGGCAATTTGACTCAAGTAAGTATCATTTTAGTCTCCAAATGAGGACATAAAATATGGGTCTAATGCAGTATGAATAGTAAATAGTTCTTTACTTATTCATATGTATTTACATTCATTTTGTTTTTTTTGTTTTTTTTTTTTGTTTTTTGTTACTTTGTCATTTATTATTATTTTTTAAAATAAGGAAGTGAGGCAACTCAAAGCAGTTGGATTGACTTGTATATAATGTGCATATCTGTACTAAGAAGTTCTTAGGAAGGACAAATACAGATGACGGAAAGTCTTAGAAGCATTGCTTTTTGCATTGTTGATGTTTTCTTTCC